TCTAAAGACCCCTCTGTCAAGCTCCTGAAGTTTGCAGACGACACCACACTCATCGGCCTCATACAGGGCGGTGACGAGTCTGCTTACAGTCAGGAGGTTAAAGGGCTGGCTGTCTGGTGCAGTCTCAACAACCTGGAGCTCAACACGCTCAAAACTGAGGAGATGACCGTGGACTTCAGGAGGAACCCCACTGCTCTCCCTCCACTCACCATCATGAACAGCACTATAACAACACAGGAGTCATTAAGGTTCCTGGGCACCACTATCTCTCAGGACCTGAAGTGGGACACTCACATTCCATTGTTAAAAAGGCCCAGCAGAGGTTGTATTTCCTTCGCCAGCTGAGGAATTTCAACCTGTCACAGGAGCTGCTGAAACAGTTCTACTCCGCCGTCATTGAATCTGTCCTCTGCACTTCTATAACTGTCTGGTTCAGCTCAGCACTGTCATTCTGTTACACTGTGGAAGCTTCGGTCACGAAAAAAAATTCCTCGTATGTGTAAACATACCTGGCAATAAAGCTAATTCTGATTCTGACATGCTGGTAAACAAATAAAATATTTCATTTTTTTAGTCAGTGTTTTATTTTGATTGATGATATTTTTAAACGATTTCTTTTCATTTTACATTATTATGATTTAATTAATTATTAGCTTTTCATTAAACTCACAAATCCCCAGCAGTTCCTTACAAACCCCAGTTTGGGAAACCTTGATGTAATGTAATGTAATGTAATGTTCAATGCCCTTCATGTTGTTATTAACAACGAGCGGAATATATTTTCTTACTTTTTGTATTTTTATATGAATACGATACAAGATTGTTCCTTTTATATCAATGTGATAAATGAGTTTGGTCAAAAGTAATCTTAAAGTAATCCAAAAGTTGTCTGATTATATTACCTAAAATGTGTAATATAATGGATTACGTTACTAACTACAATTTTTGTCATGTAATTTGGAATCAGTAACTACAATTTTTGTAACAGTGACTACAATTTTTAAGTAATCTAATCCGCTCTGTATATATGTATGTATGTACATACATAAAATAGTAAATATATCAAACTATAAACATTTTTAATATTGTATAAATTACTATGGATACAAAATATCTTGTATAAAAAAATATATATTATGCATTACAAGATAAACTGCAGATAGTGTATTTTCAGTATTTACACTCATTTGTTTAGGCCAGGCATCTGCCTTTAATAAATCAACTTACACATCAGATAACGTGTTGGGTCCACTGGATACTCGGACAGTTGTTTTGTTTCTGGTCCCTGACGGCTCCACGGTAACACCACTGGTTATGCCAAAGGAGGCACGACCATTTCCCTGCAGCTGATCATCATTTTGGGCCATATTCTCACTCGAGTGATCTGACTGGTCCTCAAGAGAGTGAAGGAGGTTTCTGCGTCCCTGTTTCCTGCACCTTAGTCCACTTTTTACCAAGTTTTCAGGTTTTTGAGAATCAAAAATGGCATTCATTGAGGCTAAAGATCGTTTGATTGACTTTGATGGGTTGGTAATGTTTCTTTTTAGGTTCCTGGCATGATTCTCTGTTTTTTGTGATTTCATTGAATTTCCGTCCTTATTAAACACACCACGAAGAGGAGTATTTGTTAGTTCAGACTTTTGTGGAGGAGGCCTGTGAGGTGTAGGAAGCCCATCGGCTGGTTCCTGAGACTGCGGCGCCTCCCACCAATTGGAAGGAGCTTTTCTTTGTCTTTTCTGTGGAACGTTGTCTGGTACAGAACTGTCTGGTTTTCTAAGAGAAGATGAAGTCTGTTTCTGTGCAGATCCAGTTTCATGCGAGTAGACCCAGTCAAACACTCTCTTCTCACCTGTTTTATTAATAGGAAGAAACAGTATATACAAAAACTTGTATCAGACTCAACAGAAGTAAAAACACTTCGGGAATGAGTTTACCTGGTAGGACGTTGTGCTGTCTGTTAGGACAACACAATTCTGGACTAATTTCTACATCATTCTCATTCGGACAAGCTCCCACTTCCTCTTCTGGCAATGCCATTTGAGGTTGAGTGGCTGCTGATTTTGGTTTCCTTCGACCACCTGTTTTCTTAGCAGTCTTCTGCTCAGCTCCAACATTATGTCCATCGTCACCTGCTATTGCCTTTTTAGCACTGTCCAACAGATTGTGAGTTTTCTGCTTCTTCTGATTCCCCTGAGCAGGCCTGATAGACACTGTTTCCTCAGAATCAACAGCAGCTGCTTGCTTTGTTGATGCTTTAGTACTGGCTTTCCGCCTTTGTGCCGTAACCAACACTTGCTTTGGCTGAGGCTCTGTGGTACTTTCATTCGGGCTAGTGAGCCACCACTCTCCTGGAGATCTCCTCGTCCTCCTGCCACACATAGGACTGTCTGAAGAAATGTCAGATGCTATTGTTGGTGGATCCTTTGGTTTTGGTTCCACACTTTTTGTCTCTTTTCTCTTCTGCTTTTTGCCTGAATCCACAGCGTCTTCCTTGTGTGAAGATTGTTTATTCACAGCTACAGTGCAAAAATAAAACAGAAAAGATTCTACATTTTCATCCGCTCTGCACCGATGGTTGTTAACGATGCCTAATCTCTGAGTTGGGAGTGTTAGATGTCTGTATAACCAAAATAATAAAATTATGCTTTGTGTAATTACCAGTGAAATGCATAATGAAGCAAATGCCAGAGGAACTAACCTGTCGTTTGTTCCTCCTCTTGCTCATTGAGGGCAGGTAAAGGTTCATGCTCTTGCTCCTCACAGGAAGCATCTATCTGTTCCAACACTATTTGTTGTTTAGAAGTTTGTTTCTTTGTCTTAGGGGCAGTTTCCTCATTTTTGTCATTCTTTCTTTTTTTGTTGGATTTTGTGGAGTGATGATCTGCTGCAGCAGTGTCTTTACTGAATTCCTTCTTAGCTTTTGGCCCTGGTCTCTCCTGTTTCGATGACTTTGAGGATTTCTTTGTGGCTCTAGACTCAGTAACTGGGTTTTCTTGGCTGCCACCTGTATTTGTTTCATCTTTGTCAGAAAGCTCAGCTGGCTCAGGTGCCTTTCTGTTTGCACGTTTCTTTCCTGTAACCATCACACAAAGAAATATTTCAAATATAATCACAGGTAACTTTTAAATAGTTTTTCATTTATGAATGTATTATAAAAGTAATAATAAATGTATTGATAAAGTATATGTAGTAATACAGTGCCCTCAAAAAGTAAAAGGTATGAATGTTTAATTGTGTCACATGACATACTTTATGAATCCACTAAAAATAATTTTGGGATTAATTGATCAAAAATAAGGGTACATTCAGAAAAGTAAGAAAATAATACTGTTCAAAAAATGTGGGGTCACGTCAGTAAGACCTTTTTTTGAAAGAAATTAATTTTGTAGCAAGGATGCATTACTGTCTACTTATCAAAGAATCCTGAAAAAAAGTATAACGTTTTCACAAAAGCAGAACAATTGTTTTTTTAAACATTGTTAATAATAAGAAATGTTTCTTGAGCACCAAATCAGCATATTAGAATGATTTCTGAAAGACGATGTGATACTGAAGACTGGAATAATGGCTGCTTGAAATTCAGCATTTTGTAGCAAGGATGCATTACTGTCTACTTATCAAAGAATCCTGAAAAAAAGTATAACGTTTTCACAAAAGCAGAACAATTGTTTTTTAAACATTGTTAATAATAAGAAATGTTTCTTGAGCACCAAATCAGCATATTAGAATGATTTCTGAAAGACGATGTGATACTGAAGACTGGAATAATGGCTGCTTGAAATTCAGCTTTGACCTCACAGGAATAATTTATACCGTAAATTATATTAAAACAGAAAACAATTATTTTAAATTGCAATATTTCACAATTACTGTTTTTACTATATTTTCAACAAAACAAACACAGCCTTAGTGAGGATAAGTGACTTCTTTCTAAAACATAAAAAAATATATATCTTATGGACCCTAAACTTTTAAATGATAGTGTAAGTCTAAAAAAAGCGCTAGCATAATTTGTTTGCAGATGTCACTTCGTTTGTCACTTTTTTGTTATAAAAAGCAATTGAATGTTTAAGTCTGCCTTAAATGTCCAAAATCATTTTATGGTCACTGCATGTACTGATAAAAAAATAATAATAATAATTTTTATACACCTTGAATCTGAGATTTAGTAAAATTGTGATTTACCTGTTGGCACTGTTTTGTGTCCCTGTACAGTTTGAGAAGAGGTCTGATCAGAAACTCTGTCCTCCAGTGTTTCAGTTGCAAGGTCTGCTCCATCCTCAACACTATCATGAGTCACAGAGTCTTTGCCACTCTTTTTAGAGGCTTTTCCACGTTTTCCTTTCGTTTTTTTTGGTATACCAAACTCAATTTGCACTGTGTTTCTTTTATCATCCTTCCCATGGTGATTTGTTGTATATGTTTCACTCTGTGAGAGCTGATCTGTAGAGTGTGGCTCTGTAAGAACATTCTCCTTTGCGGTGTCTGTTGGGACAGGTCTTTTGTTCCTGGTGACCTCCGCCTTGCGAGGAATGACAAAAAGAACAGGAGCCTCATCATCTAGGATCATGAAATCCTCCTCTAAATCTGCAGGTGGAGGAGCTGGAACTGCTCCTTGTTTCCTGGAACTTATTAATGAAAAAGTGTTACGAAACAATGGCACATGTGGTTTAAGATCAGAACGTCATATTTAGACTCACCATGGGGATTTAAGCATCAAGGCCTTTTTAAGCTTGTGCTGGAAAGACAATCCTTTGCCTGGATCCTCCACCACCTGATTCTTGCATTGCTCCGCCTCCTGAAGTTTTGTTTCACTCTTCTGAACCAAAACAGGAGAAAGTTGGCTTGGATCTTTATCCCTTAATAATAAAAAAAAGAGAAGATTTAATAAGAAATCTGCTGTTCTAAATAGAAAGAACAATTCAGTTGTAGCATTACAAATGATAGTCTTCCTCAGTTTCGGGAGGTGAAGACTGTGTGGCTTGCTCTGAAATTTTAGTGGTTTTTGCAGGCTTCATACTAAAAATTTAACATTTTACGTGTTTTTGTTATAATAAAAGAAGTGTGATTATATATTAAATCATATGAATATTATTTAGTAAAAATATATTAAATGCTGATGTACAACACTGTTTTAATACATTAATAACTGACCTTGATAAGGAACCAGCATTTGATTTAGTAGTTTTTCTAAACTCAAGCCTTTCCGGTGGTGATGCCAGAGACCCGCTATCCCTTTAGAGCAGAGAAAATAAGTGAACAGTTAGGCAATGAAACAAAAACCATAACTGTTATCAAACTCTTTTTATTCTTACCCATAGAGGGATTCCTTGAACGGTTCTGATTGCTGAGTGCAGGACGCCTTGCTTAAGTCTCCACCAATGGGTTCGTCATCCTCAACAAAGAGAAGAGGATCAGCAACAGGTCTGACTCCATCCACAGTTTCAAATTGTGGATGGATTTCTTTAAGTGGACTCTCTTTGTTAGAATTGAAAGAAATATGACAATTATTACAAATACCAAGCAGGTGATGAGATATGCTGAATAATTAGCTCTACTACAGGGCTCAAAAGTAGGGATGCACAATATTATCAGAACATAATTGGAATCAGCCGATAATGGCTTAAAATGTAAACATGTATATTTAGGGGGCGCTGTTGGCCTACTTGTAATAAAATGAAAGTAAAATACACAAATAACTAAGATTAAGATTAATCACAAGTATGTTTTGATTTAAAGGTCAGAAGCTATAGCTTACATGAATAAAAATCACAAACAATGATACTGGTAAATTAAATAATTTTAATGTAATTAATTTTTACAAATGTTAACTCTTCAATTAAAATGTTAAGGTTACCACTGAATCTGTCTGGAAAAAAATGCAGTGATTGATTTATAGTTATTTTCAGCTTTCATTTCAAGAGAACTTCATTATTGTTTATTTAATTCTAACAAGTAAGTTTTTGTTAAAAATAACCAAAATTAAAAATAATTTGTTTGTAAAAGTAATTATATATCGGTTTCAGAATCGGCCAAAATGAGTTGAAAAATATCGGCTTATTGGAAATCGGCAAAATCCAAATTCGTGCATCCCTACTCAAAAGTAGGGCTGGGCGATATGGCCAAAAACTCATATCTCTGAATTTTTTTGGCTGAAATGTGATATACGGTATATATCTCGGTATTCTCTACATTTTCTATTTTGATTTTTCCATTTATATATATTTTCTTATTTTTATTTTTTAACATCCTGCTCAATTTTGTCTAATAAAACAATGTTTATATTAAAGGCAATGAAGACAAATGTAGTGAAAGCAGGCTATGCTATCCATTAAGTGCAAAAAGGGGCTAAAATGACATTACATTCTAACATTGTAACATTACAATCTAAAAACAAAAATAATGCTTTTTAAGGCAGAGGTTCAATTCACTATACTAAAAATGAAAGCAAATAAACAAGAGCACAGATTAATGGCATTTTATTTTTGATTACTCCATTACTGATTTAGATGCGCTCATATCAAACTACTGTATATCGATATGGGCGGTATTGCCTCATGCTATTTCGCCTATTAAAAATATATCGATATATCTTACAAACTCGATATACCGCCCAGCCCTACTCAAAAGTAGTTTTTTTTTTCTGCTTTCATGGTCGGGTGAGTAGTTCAGATTTGTTTGATACAAATTCTACATTTACTTCATTTAATTATATAATTTTGTGCAATAATAGCTGGTAAATATACAGAATACAACTGATATAAAGACTGTGATGTAGGTTCACCTTTATCAATCATTTCATCCTCTTGAATGCCATTTTCTTGGATTAAAGCATCCTTGGGCACCTGACAATCAGAGTCATCTGATTAACAATTAACATCACATTGTGGAACTAAGAAAGAACAGACTGATTTCTAATGTTTCACTCCATGTGTACTTGTTTAGATGATGCCTTCATCTTTTCTGGATTAGAAGAACTTCCACTTTTCTTCTGACTATTCACATCAGTGCTTTTGGGCAAGGGAGAAAGCAGAGGCAAACCCCGCTCAGAGTCAGCATCTATCAATAACAACAACATGGGATATGGTTGCACACAACGAATGGCATGAAAAGGTGACAATGAAATGGATGTTTTAAGCAATGAGATGAATGTAAGAATTTAATTACCAATGTCATCGAAGAGATTGTCAATGTCATGCAGGGTCAAAACATTATCGATCTTGAATTCAGAATTGACTCTGAAAATCAGCAGCAACACATGATTAAATTACTCTAACTTGAGCTAGTTAAGAGATATTAACCAATACAATAGGTTGTTTTGAAAGTGGAACATTACTTACATTTCATGTCCTTGATAATAATGCAGTTTCTTTTTGGCTTTGACCTGAAATAATTGATTGAAACTTTACAAGTTCATTTGAAGAATAAAAAATACATGAAAAAATAGCACACATATAAAATATATACAACTCATAAACATTTATCACATAATTCACAAATACACACACAATCATATTTATCTATCTATCTACTAGTTTGGTAAGCTTTTTCTTTCTGAAAATCTCTTATGTTCACACTGCATTTGTTTGAACAAAAATGCAGTAAAACTGTAATATTGCAAGATATTATAACAATTTCAAATAACTGTTTTTCTATTTTAATATATTGTAAAATGTAATTTATTCCTGTGATGACTTATTCCTGAATCTTCAGGATCATTACTCCAGTCCTCAGAGTTACATGACCTTTCAGAAATCAATCTAATCTGATTTGATGCTCAAGAAACATTTCATATTATTATTAATGTTAAAACAGTTCTGCTGCTAAATATTTTTGTGGAAACACGTGACACATTTTTTCAGGATTCCTTGATGAATAGAAAGTTCATAAGAGCATCACATATATGTAATAGAAATCACAAATAATACGTTCAAGTTAATGTTACAAACAATGTGATGCTCTGTGTTGCTGCCTGACTGAACTGTCACTTCACTTCTACTTTCGTTTCGTAAACACTAGTTAGCTGTGTCTCAAAACACAGTGAGCTGACTATTCAGAGAGAATTCTGAGCGCCTATGAGGCCTAAAAATGCTGTCTAGGTAGGGAGCTCACTAGGTTTTGAGCGCAGCCACTGTCCGACTCGCTACGCCACAAACGGTGGCAACATGCAACTGTGGTTTTGTTCTTCACGTAAGTTACACCCATAACTACTGACCTGGGACATCGTGTCTAGCCCTGGTTAAAGAAACTGTGTGTCCGCCAGTGAAGCTCATAAACCCGCAGACAGTCCGGTTCTCTGTTTCAAACCCAACATTCCCGTGACTGGTAACTGTTAGCTGACCGCAATTCACCGTTTGCGTTACACTCTTCTGTGTTTAGGCAGTTTGAAAGTCTTGGTGCGAACTTTGCGTTTGCGATAAATTTTTACTTTCAAAACAGTATTAAAATGTTAATATCTCACAGAAAACATTAATATCTTTCATAGAGTCCGTCACTGTATTTTGCCCACAACAACAACACAAATTCTCCCGCTCATTTTTGTTCCTGTGCGGGAGAAAGACGCACAATGCAATGCTGCCACCTAGTGCTGCGGGGGGCTTCACTAACAGCCACTCTACAGCAGTAAACGACAACTAGGATAAAGCCCACCAGGGGAAATCAATAAACCTAACAAGGGGATACCTTAAAATCATATATATATTTTTAATTTAATTAAATGATTAAAAAAAATAAAACGATAAATAAATGATAAAAAATTATATTAAAAAAAATATGTTACTACTACAGGGCTCAAAAGTAGGGATGCACAATATTATCAGAACATAATTGGAATCAGCCGATAATGGCTTAAAATGTAAACATGTATATTTAGGGGGCGCTGTTGGCCTACTTGTAATAAAATGAAAGTAAAATACACAAATAACTAAGATTAAGATTAATCACAAGTATGTTTTGATTTAAAGGTCAGAAGCTATAGCTTACATGAATAAAAATCACAAACAATGATACTGGTAAATTAAATAATTTTAATGTAATTAATTTTTACAAATGTTAACTCTTCAATTAAAATGTTAAGGTTACCACTGAATCTGTCTGGAAAAAAATGCAGTGATTGATTTATAGTTATTTTCAGCTTTCATTTCAAGAGAACTTCATTATTGTTTATTTAATTCTAACAAGTAAGTTTTTGTTAAAAATAACCAAAATTAAAAATAATTTGTTTGTAAAAGTAATTATATATCGGTTTCAGAATCGGCCAAAATGAGTTGAAAAATATCGGCTTATTGGAAATCGGCAAAATCCAAATTCGTGCATCCCTACTCAAAAGTAGGGCTGGGCGATATGGCCAAAAACTCATATCTCTGAATTTTTTTGGCTGAAATGTGATATACGGTATATATCTCGGTATTCTCTACATTTTCTATTTTGATTTTTCCATTTATATATATTTTCTTATTTTTATTTTTTAACATCCTGCTCAATTTTGTCTAATAAAACAATGTTTATATTAAAGGCAATGAAGACAAATGTAGTGAAAGCAGGCTATGCTATCCATTAAGTGCAAAAAAGGGGCTAAAATGACATTACATTCTAACATTGTAACATTACAATCTAAAAACAAAAATAATGCTTTTTAAGGCAGAGGTTCAATTCACTATACTAAAAATGAAAGCAAATAAACAAGAGCACAGATTAATGGCATTTTATTTTTGATTACTCCATTACTGATTTAGATGGGCTCATATCAAACTACTGTATATCGATATGGGCGGTATTGCCTCATGCTATATCGCCTATTAAAAATATATCGATATATCTTACAAACTCGATATACCGCCCAGCCCTACTCAAAAGTAGTTTTTTTTTCTGCTTTCATGGTCGGGTGAGTAGTTCAGATTTGTTTGATACAAATTCTACATTTACTTCATTTAATTATATAATTTTGTGCAATAATAGCTGGTAAATATACAGAATACAACTGATATAAAGACTGTGATGTAGGTTCACCTTTATCAATCATTTCATCCTCTTGAATGCCATTTTCTTGGATTAAAGCATCCTTGGGCACCTGACAATCAGAGTCATCTGATTAACAATTAACATCACATTGTGGAACTAAGAAAGAACAGACTGATTTCTAATGTTTCACTCCATGTGTACTTGTTTAGATGATGCCTTCATCTTTTCTGGATTAGAAGAACTTCCACTTTTCTTCTGACTATTCACATCAGTGCTTTTGGGCAAGGGAGAAAGCAGAGGCAAACCCCGCTCAGAGTCAGCATCTATCAATAACAACAACATGGGATATGGTTGCACACAACGAATGGCATGAAAAGGTGACAATGAAATGGATGTTTTAAGCAATGAGATGAATGTAAGAATTTAATTACCAATGTCATCGAAGAGATTGTCAATGTCATGCAGGGTCAAAACATTATCGATCTTGAATTCAGAATTGACTCTGAAAATCAGCAGCAACACATTATTAAATTACTCTAACTTGAGCTAGTTAAGAGATATTAACCAATACAATAGGTTGTTTTGAAAGTGGAACATTACTTACATATCATGTCCTTGATAATAATGCAGTTTCTTTTTGGCTTTGACCTGAAATAATTGATTGAAACTTTACAAGTTCATTTGAAGAATAAAAAATACATGAAAAAATAGCACACATATAAAATATATACAACTCATAAACATTTATCACATAATTCACAAATACACACACAATCATATTTATCTATTTATCTACTAGTTTGGTAAGCTTTTTCTTTCTGAAAATCTCTTATGTTCACACTGCATTTGTTTGAACAAAAATGCAGTAAAACTGTAATATTGCAAGATATTATAACAATTTCAAATAACTGTTTTTCTATTTTAATATATTGTAAAATGTAATTTATTCCTGTGATGACTTATTCCTGAATCTTCAGGATCATTACTCCAGTCCTCAGAGTTACATGACCTTTCAGAAATCAATCTAATCTGATTTGATGCTCAAGAAACATTTCATATTATTATTAATGTTAAAACAGTTCTGCTGCTAAATATTTTTGTGGAAACACGTGACACATTTTTTCAGGATTCCTTGATGAATAGAAAGTTCATAAGAGCATCACATATATGTAATAGAAATCACAAATAATACGTTCAAGTTAATGTTACAAACAATGTGATGCTCTGTGTTGCTGCCTGACTGAACTGTCACTTCACTTCTACTTTCGTTTCGTAAACACTAGTTAGCTGTGTCTCAAAACACAGTGAGCTGACTATTCAGAGAGAATTCTGAGCGCCTATGAGGCCTAAAAATGCTGTCTAGGTAGGGAGCTCACTAGGTTTTGAGCGCAGCCACTGTCCGACTCGCTACGCCACAAACGGTGGCAACATGCAACTGTGGTTTTGTTCTTCACGTAAGTTACACCCATAACTACTGACCTGGGACATCGTGTCTAGCCCTGGTTAAAGAAACTGTGTGTCCGCCAGTGAAGCTCATAAACCCGCAGACAGTCCGGTTCTCTGTTTCAAACCCAACATTCCCGTGACTGGTAACTGTTAGCTGACCGCAATTCACCGTTTGCGTTACACTCTTCTGTGTTTAGGCAGTTTGAAAGTCTTGGTGCGAACTTTGCGTTTGCGATAAATTTTTACTTTCAAAACAGTATTAAAATGTTAATATCTCACAGAAAACATTAATATCTTTCATAGAGTCCGTCACTGTATTTTGCCCACAACAACAACACAAATTCTCCCGCTCATTTTTGTTCCTGTGCGGGAGAAAGACGCACAATGCAATGCTGCCACCTAGTGCTGCGGGGGGCTTCACTAACAGCCACTCTACAGCAGTAAACGACAACTAGGATAAAGCCCACCAGGGGAAATCAATAAACCTAACAAGGGGATACCTTAAAATCATATATATATTTTTAATTTAATTAAATGATTAAAAAAAATAAAACGATAAATAAATGATAAAAAATTATATTAAAAAAAATATGTTACTTAAAATAAATAGACTTTAATTAAAAAAATCTCTTATTTTAATTTAACTTGATGTACTAAAATAAATAAAATTGAAATGAAAATCTAAAATGGCAAAAACAACAAAATTACTAAAACTTTCAAATTAAAATAAACATATATATAAAAAACATATTAATAAACATTTCAATGATAGTAAAATAACAGTGATAGTAACTTGACTTAAGATATATAGACTACATTTTAAATAAATGTTTACATTTCTTACAATTATTACAAATATAAATTTTTGCTTTTGTATCCAGTGCAGTTTAATTTTATAAAAAATTAATAACTTTAATTTAATCAAATGAAGACACATTTTTTTCATTCATTATCATTTTAAACCACAATATACTGCAAATAGTTCTTATACAAATCAATACACTGCTCAGGATTGCTAGGATTGTGATCCTTATTCTATCTTCAAACACCCCAAGTTGGGGTCAAGCCATCAGCCATCTTAACTTCCCCACTAAAACTTTACTAAAACTTTAAACCCTTGTGAGTTTTATGATTTTATTGCTGCAGAAAAATGGCACATAACAGTGCATAGATCATGGTCATGGACACCCCCTGCTCTGATAAGAGCAATTCAGTGTGTGTAATTCAATTACAGAAGCTTTGCATTTTATTTTTTACTTTTTTTTTTTAATCAAAAGGACATATAAACAATTTACATATTTAAACAATTACAAATATAAATAGCATTAAAAAACGATGATTAAACTTCAGTTTAACTGAAGATCTTCTTCTGCTTTTCAGCGATTTCCATCGGTGATATAGCCTCTTCATTCATGCCTTTGTAGAGAGGATGTTTAATATGCCTCCATATAACCAGCAATACTTTGATCGCAAATAGTGTACAAGCCAACCCCAGTAATGCAGCTGTTGAATACAACAAAATATTGTTTTCATGAAATGCTGGCACTACAGACTAAGAACACAACAGCAAAACCAGTATGACATTCAGGCTCACCTATGTAAATTCCATTGCGGCTTGGATCTGCAGAGTTAAAGTTCTTTGTCATGTTTCCCCTCAAAGCCACAATGACAACAGGATAGACTGTCAGAATGTATCGCAGGTGCTTTTCAAACACAAAGTTCTCAACAATGAACCTGTAAAATAATAATGCATTATTTCAAGGTTAATGTCTTTAATTTATTTAACATCCCTCATTTATTTCAGTTCGATGGTCTCACCAAGAAATAGCTTCACCCAAAAGAACAGAGAGAGAGACTGTTGCTGCATCTGACTGGGTCATTCCAGCATCATATCTCAGCACAACAGTGAAGTTAATCAGAGTGGCAATAGTTGTCCATGTTGTGTATGTTGCAATTCCATTCTGAACCTGCAAGATTGAAGATGCAAAATTAAAAATGCATAATGTTTTTAAAATGGGTTGAGATGCTATTAAGTAAAATTGTGATGGTCTCTCACCAATATCCGAATGCACCAGAGGTCTACTT